CGGGCCAAGGCTTAAAAAATGGTGTACTAAACTTTCAGGAACTTTGCCATCAGGCTGAAAAGTAGCAATCAATTCACAGATAATATCCAGAACGATAATACTTCAACGTCAAGGCCCTTGACTCCACAAAGACCACAAACACCTCAAAGTCCTCAAACACCTCAGAGGCCGCAAACTCCAATACAGCAATCATTGCCATCACAGCCACCAACTCCAACTAATCATTTGCCATATCTATCACCAGCTGCCTTTACACCTCTTCTTCATGCATTGCTTCTTGATCAAAACACTAGTATCGCACAAGCAGCTCAAAATGTTATACAATCTCTAGTTGAGAGAATACTGGAAGAGCCAGATGTTAACCCTAAAGAAAAGGAATTACTTGAAAAAGAAACTTTGGAAGGTGTTGTTTTAGGAATAGGTCGTCTTGATCAAGAGAAAGCAAAGAGAGAGGAATTAAATGAATGGGAAGCTGAAGGTGACGACACAAGCGTTGGTGCCGTTACTGGTATCGAGGAAGAAGTTGAGCTAGGCCGAATGACAATGATGTCGGTAAGTTACCGAATTTTATTTAACATTTCTATTTCCTAATACCTGGTCTATAATCATTTTGTATTTGTAGTTGATATCATCTTTAGCACCGATCGTTGGCTCAGAAAGATGTATCCGCTTATTTGTACCTGAATTAGATAAAATGATGGAAGAACCAGTATTCTATGTACGGAAGGTTGGTTATCTGATATTATTTATTTCTTGCTAGGTCTAAAATTATAATTGAAGCTGTTCTCTTGTTCTAGGAAGCGGCCTTAGCGATTGGAAGTTTAGCTAGTGTATTACCTTTGGATATAATAACTTCAAAATTGGTAAATAACAGACCATTTTTTTCATGCTTGGTTTGAAGCATTACCAAATTGATGATATTGAGCAATAAATGATCTCAAAAGTTACCTATATACGACCATTTCTCGACCGATCCTATATGGCACGTACGTCGCTCTTGTTGCTTAGTCCTACCAACATTATGTTCAAAGCTTCCTGATGAAATGAAGTCGGATCGAGCTGTAAAAGGAATTGAATTATTTGCTGGTGACGTTAGTCGTAGTGTACGTTCTGCGGCCGGTGAAATTATCGGTGAATTGATTGCTACTTTTCAGCCTGATGGCAAAGTTCCTGAAAGTTTAGTACACCATTTTTTAAGCCTTGGCCCG